TCGATGTCTAGAAATGAAGAGCAAAAGAATTAAATGTGATAGCTTAGAAGTTCAAAATGATTTGGAAAAATTACCTGAATGGTCTGAAATCTGGCAGCTGCCGATCAATGATCCCAAGTGTAACGTGATGCATATCGGTCATCAAGGTGCAAGTACATACATGATGCATAGCATTAAGTTACCTCCCGATCAACTGAGTCGAACACCGCCTTGCGATCAACAAATACAACTATACTCAGGCATCAGAAAGTATGTCTATGTTCCAGAATCTGTCGGGGGGTGTATATTTGGTATGTACATCGACCCTCAGGTCTGAAACCAGCCTGATTTCCTCGGGTTCGCTCTTCACGAGCTCTGGTTATAAGTCGAAGTATTGTTGAGATTTCTCACAAAAGAATCTTTTTCTTTCTCGTAGACTGGGGTTATAAGTGATCAAGACCTATGAAATGAAAGTTCATCCAGTCCCTTGATTTTAGCTCAGATTTCAGTTCGCGTAACCGCCAAAACTGTACCACCATCCCTAAAAATCTCAGGAGTTAGTCCATCAGGCCTTGCTCATCTCCCTCGCTTTAGATTACTTATAGCCTTTACAACCTCACTAAGAGTTGGAGGACTTACACCAGTCTGCCACTCAGATTATCTGGAAATAGTAACTGAAGTGTGGCTAAAGGTCAGTTGAACTGTTGCTTAAAAAGTTCTGTCCAACAGTCAAATCCTCTGGATTGAGGTTGGACAATAGTATCGTTATTTTCCGACGTAGTTTCACTAACAGCCAGATTTTTAACACCCGTTTCCTTGATAATTCTGAATAGTTGTCTACTGTTACCTATCGCTTTCTCCTTTTCATTCTCTTTTTCTTTCGCTACCCCCTACTGCTCGCAATGATTAAGTAGGCTTTTTATCAGCCAGAGATTAAATTGATTTCTCCTCTCGTCATCGTGTACAGAGCTAAACAGGATATGTTTCTGAGCACCTATCGATTCTGTAGACAACACTAAAGCACACTGATTTCTATACACCTTTTGGTTTAAGTAACTAGTAGGTATCACTGCTGTTTCCACAGCTTTTGGGATATTACACCAAGTTACCTCAGGTTGAACATCACTTTCACGGTTGACTAACTTCTCTAGTTATTCGTGAAATATATTCCTAATTTTTTTCATCAGGCAAATACGTGCTCAAACTAGAGCACGACCCAAGTCTAAATATGTTCTTCTGAATGAGCAACGTTTTCCTCTCGAGTCCCTCTAACGATGGCTGGTGGTAATTTGATCTGTTTGAGTCCATTTATGAGTTGTTTGTGGAGGTTTCCATGTCAGACGATGTTTCTCCTTATGTTCAAAATATGTGTAAGATGTTTCCCTCAGACAACCAGCATAACAGTAATGCTCCGTTCCCACGAAGTAAGGATGAGATTGGAAAACGTCAACCCTAAAAATGGACACCTCGCCTTCTCCCAGGGATTTCCATCTGCTGTGGCAATGTCTCAACAAGTACGGAGTTGACGCGAAGATTACTCACAAAAAGTTCGTGTGCGACAGATCTCATTCAGCTGTATATACTGTTTTATTATTATCGATTGTACATGTGATTATTATTATTATTCATAATATTACTGAAATACCTTTTTAAATTATTATAAATAGTATGTTTCTGTATACACATTTTAGAATGTGTTCTTATTAAAAGATAATGTAGCACTGTTTAATAAAACAGTTTTCCTCATCAATTTATTCTTCACTATTTAATGAGTTATATTTGCAATAAAAATTAATTCAGTAACTGTTTACCCTTTGAAAAAAATGTCACAAACATCATACATTAAGTTTAATTATTAGAAAAAGAATAAATTTTATGAATTACATATTTTTCCAATATATTTGATTTATAGTTAAAATTATGAGTCAATTGAAGCTAGACCACTATGAAAAACCTGGAAGCACAGGACGGCCTTTTCATCCTATTGTGGGACTCCTCAGCAGTGCGTCGTCCAGTGTTTCTAGGTTTTCTATGATGGTCTAGCTTCAATTGACTCATGATTTCAACTATAAAATTACTGAAATCTCCACAAAAGCGCATTCTGATGTATGTGATTCAATTGAATTATTCTTTATATGATTTAAATGAAAGTGTGTCATTATAAAATTCCGAATTTATGCTCTGATTACATTAATATTTAATGAATAATTCATTTTTTGAAATCCTAGGAGTCATTGATACCGTTTTTTAATCTGTTCTATTTGTTATCACAGTTGAATACCTAAATCTTTAAGTGGTTAGTTATTTCTGAGAAAGTCTGTTGTCATTATTTTGTAAAATATTAATTTCTTACAAGTTATGAAAGTATCTTTGTGTTAAGTATTAGTTAGTAAAGAAAATAGAATTGCAGTTGTTTCCATTTATTTGTTATAATCACTTCCTTAAACAAAGAAAACTAATCTTATTTAAAGCACAGGTGTTGTATACGGTGAGTGAAGTCTGTGGAATATTTTGCGCGAACAACAATTTTTTGAGGATAGCGGTGTTATTCATTTGAACTAATAACATTATGTATATGTAAAACCCATGTGTTGGGTAATTAATTTTTGTGCATTTTATTAGTTATCTTTAACAGAATATTCAAAGGAAATACACGTCCTAATAACAGTAATAATAAGCTCAAAGTGTTCTCAATATAGTGAAAAGAACACTGGTGGGGACAATCGAATGTATTTAAGCACAAATTACAGACTGTTTCACTAAATTCTGATAACCAAACAGTAAACAGTTAATTTGCAAAATAAGCATCAATTGTCTCAATCTTCACTGTTCCTTCTGTAAATATCAATCGATCTTCTCTAATTTCATTGCTTGTTCATTTTCCTACCGATTGTGCTTCATTTCAGTTCTTTCCTTATCGGTCTTCCGCCAAAATACATTCTTTGTCTGTTCATCGCCATATACTACTTATGAGGATATAAGTAGACCACACCACATCAATAGATCATTTGATAAACACCATATGTTTTAAAATATATGTAAAATCTAATTGAGAATTCAAATGACCTATTCTTAGTTGTTTTTATTTAAATCGGTATTATCCAGTAAGCTACTACTATACAACCAATATTGATACGAGAAATATGAAGCTTTAATCTGCTATAAAAGTTGTGGGCCTCTGACGGTTATTATTACAGCCAACGTATTTTTATTTTTCAAGGGGCCAATTGTGTCGTATTAAACGATTTGGGTAAACGTCTGATTAATAGTGTTTTCCATTTGCGTATTAGCATATTGTTCTTTCTTTTTTCAAGCCATTCAACTCTTTCCTGCTTGATAGTTGTACAATTTAATAGATTGTTTGTAAACAATACTAGGCCCAATTCCATTATGAAAAAGCAATGGACAGGAATTTAAGAAAGGCTTATAAGTGCACCAATATATGTGACTGCTACTTATTATCTGTACAAAACTTGGTATTTTGTTCATTAATCCTAAAGTTTACTTGACAACTCGGAAATAACTTCATAGAATACCATCAGGTAAGAATGATAATCTTGTTTTTATCACTTCATTTTTTCTACTATGTTTATCTCATTTCTGAGACGAGAATTAAACATTCTCGTATTAATCGTAATCTTCAACATGCACTAATTCATTTCGTTTATATTTCTTTTTTCTCACATCCAATAAACTCAGTTCTGTTATTTTTTTAGTTCTAGATGAATACTAAGTTTAATATTGTACTTTATACTCAATATTGCCTCCCCTAAATATAGATAAATATCTATATCATTTTTGAGATTCTGACACTATTTTACATAAACCATATTTCGTCAAATGTTTTGTCTATAAAGGATTTTTTTAAACAAAACATTCATATGACATCGAACCAAAGTGAGTTCATTATTCTTTATGAATTTCTATTAGTCAGAAAAGAAATATCTGTTTAATGTACGAACAAGGTAGGCTGAATGTGAAAAACTGAGTAACTCGTCGCGATTTATACACCGTCACAATTTCCTTGACTAGTCTCAAATCAACTTATTACTCAAACTCCAGTCCATAAGAACACATACCATTTTTTGTAAGTCAGACGAAACGCCTAGAAACAAATTTATTTGATTAATGAAAAAAACATCCTGTTTAGCCAAATTAATTTGACAATATAATTTTATAACACCGAAAAAAAGAGATCAGAATTGATTAATGATTCACTAAATAGGACTTATCACTAATTGGTCAATTAGTTGACCAATTTACTAAATATCATTGACTTAAACTATAGAGATTGGTCAACTTCTTCTATAAAGTCATATTTTTAATCCAGTCTATCAGCACATCATCGAAATTTTCTGACTTATCAAATAATTTGTCATTTAATAAATGAAAACCCGTCTGAATGAAATAATTCTTACAAACTTGTCTATCTTACTATATATATTTTTGTTTCAACAAATAATAATGTTGTCAGAAAGAGTTTTTTGTGGTGATTTTAGTATTTTCATAGTTGAAAGCGTGAGTCAATTGAAACTAGACCACCAGGGAAAACCTGGAATCACTGGACGGCCGTTTCGTCAACTATGAAAATACTAAAATCTCCACCAAAAAACCCTTCTGATAATAATAATCATATGATCACTAGTGACTGACTTCAAGAGATAAATCCAGGGGTTCTAGTGGGAAGTAGTGACCAGTGGAGTTCGAACCACGTCTGTTGTGAGATAGAAACTCATTGAAGACAATTTGTGAACGGTTGCTCAACTTCGTGGATTGATTGGATTTAGACATTAACACCATCGGATGCCGGCTCAGTGGTTTATCGGTTAAGTGCCCTGGAGCGAGGCTGGTAAGTCCTGGGTTCGAATCTCGAGGGACGAGGTCGTTGATGCGCACTTCTGAGGATTCCCACAATAAGACAAAACGGCTGTCTATTGCTTCCAGGTTAGTCACGGTGGTCTAGCTTCAATTGACTCACATTTTCAACTATGAGAATATTAATATCTTGATAAATAGTCAATAAAAATTAGTCAAATAAATATATTTAACTCTGATGCAATCTTATGTTGAAATATCTGTTTGTTTTTTCTGTGAAAAAAGATGAATATAAATATTGAACATGTACAACAAACAAAAACATAATGATAGAATTTCTCAAAGAAAATAAAACAACAACATTAACTCAAATGTTAAAACAAACAGAACAATCACAAATAACTGTCCACGGAAAAAAAGTCGAAATTAAAGATTAAAAAAAAACAAACACGAAAGTACAAAACAAATCACAGTTGACACACACACACAGAAATTTGTATGACGTTAATACTTCATATTGTAAAAAAATGAACCATGGACATTTATTCATGGTTCAATTTACTAATCTAAATACTCATTTTCAAAGTTATCAAAAAGGTCATTTATGTCCGAATTGAAAAACCCGAAATCTTTGAAGAATGAGTTATCCCGTAAATTTTTATCTGAAAATGAAATAAAAATTATTACAAAAGAATTACGATATTTATATGAACAAAATTTAAAAGTTCAAATGAAAACTAATTTTCAGAAGGGGTTTTGTGGAGATTTAGTATTTTTTTTCAATTGACTCATGCTTTCTACTATGAAAACTAATTCACTTATGTTTTAATAGTAAATAAAAGTCCGTGTATTGGTAGTTTAAAAGTGTTCAGGTGTAAAAACAAATATTAGTTATATCTGTAAAATGTAATATTTCCACTGCGAATTTACACATTGTACTTTAGAAGCTTCGATTTCATCATTCTTTATTACATTGTGATGTTTCGTGACTTAGTGTAAATTACTTCTTCAGGGTAAGGTAAATAAAAGAATTTAATTGACACAAGTTTAAACATTACAATTTAAACTATTTAAACATGTGTTAGTTAAATTCTTTTATTTACTTACTCTGAAGAAGTGACTTACACTAAGTCACGAAACATCAGACATACAATTTTTCCATTCATTGGGATATGACAAAACATATATTTATTATTAACTCTCTTATCAATGCTCAATTTATTTGAAACTATCAAGTTCAACCTTCTCATTGATACCTTTATAAAATCTTGATAACTGATATGTCAGTGAATACTTTATTTCTTTGTAAATAGTAAAGAAATTAATTTATGCCTAGAATTATAAACTGGGACTGACTTCTTTTACATTGATCGCTTAATGTTCAATATTTATTCGTGACGAATAATCCGAATCAGATGATGCTTGAAACATGTTTAAGTATATACTTAGCTATATAATACAGTCACTGCAACAAAATTAATATACTATTTTTTCTAATGCAAATACTTAAATATCATATCTAATTTTTAGAATATAGGAAAGCTTGAACAAATATTTAAATGAAGTTTACTTTATAGAAAACAATTTATCACCAAGACCGGTTTACAGATCTCAACATGATTTATGAGTTAAAATAACGTAGTTTATGGGATATTACTGAGTAATATAATAGTTACAATTTTCAATTTTTTTTATTAAAAAGTGTTACATTGTTACAAATAGAACCAAACAATTAGAACAACTTACAAAGCTCTCGAAATTCTTCATCAAAATCCGATTCACCATCCATAAAACAAACTTGATTATTTGCATCATATAATTGTTGTTCATTATCATTTGTAACCCAATACATGATATAAAAGTTGCACATTTCATCATTTCGTGTATTTCTGCATAAATATTGTAAAGAAATGAATGATTCAATTAATTTACATATTTCTCAAATGTTCTATTATAATCAAACTCATCAAAGTTAAAATACTCATATAAAATGAAAATAAATTCCTATTATAAGTATTAGGAATTATTTTGTATTTGACACTACAGTGAGATTGATACTGAAATGAAACATATACATACATCAATTTAAACACCTCAGAGAATTTCGAAAACGTTTTGGTCTCTGATTGGGGATTGTTAGCAGTGGATCCAAAACCTTTAGAATTCAGTGGGAGTACATTATCTTCAGACTATAAGCAAATATATTTGGTGGCTAGCAGTAGAATCCAGGACGCGCGTTTAGTTCTATTTCGGATCATTCAGCTGGATGTACCTTGATCCCGGTGTTGATGTTCACTCCGGGACTCGAACCCAGTACCGTTCTTTTCAAACATCATCACGTTATCCAAAAATATTTGTAATTCAATGGTATACGCCACTAACTTCAATTAATTGGTAGTGATAGATTGTATCACTTATCCTATAATCAAGTTCACAGATCGAACATTTCTAAGAAAAAAATATCTGTATAGAAATTTTCACCAGTAATTTTATCATACAGTTTTTCTATCTTGGGATTTAGAAAACATTATACGCTTATTCACCAAAATCAATGCGTCTTCTTCGATTTGTTAATGAATTAATCCGTGAATAGACAACGCCACATAATACCAATCGATTCTGATGCCTTAAATTAAAAATTAACTGAAATTTGAAGCAGTACATTACAAGCATGTTTTGACCTAATGCATAAATAAGATCTCATTCAATGAAAAATACGTTGGTTTTGGGTTCGAGTGGGCTTGTGCTGTTGGAAAGTAGGATAAAACATCCGAGCAGTGTTTTCAGCTGCTTGCTACTTTAAGATAATGTCAGTCTTAATGATAATTAAATGGAGAATAGTACCACAAATATCCTTGCACTAATATTAAAAACATTCATAAGACCCTTTATTTTGTCACTGGCTTCACTAAACAGGAATTTATTATCTGAATATTTGAAATGAATGAACATTTATAAAAAAAATTATCAAATTTAAAACCTACCCCATTCGAATGATCCTACTCTCATTATTTTGCATTATACACTTTGCTGCCTAAAAAAAGAATGTTGAGTGTTTTTAAAGAAAAATCGCTATGTAGAAAAACAAAAAAAGATTACTAAACGTACAATTATGTTTTGTTTGTGTATCTCAAGTGATTGATTTTGTACTGGGTAGAATGTCTGCAAAATAAAAGTAAAAGAGAAAAAACAAACAAATAAAAAAAATGCTGACTAAAACATGTAACGTTTTGAGAAAAAAGTGTTCATATACATGTATTTTATTTTTAGAAAATATTAAATGGGTACTATGCAACAATGTATATTTTAACTTTATCATCTTCTGTTGTATTCGTTATCAAAATTATTTTCAAGTGGATTGAATGAATTATATTAAACAACAATGTAAAGACCAAATAGAATATATTGTTTGTGACTCTAATTGGTTACCTATTGATTACTTGTTAACGTTAATTGATGTCTCTTTCATAAACTTAATGATAATAATAAATATATTCTTTGCGATAACCCAATGAGTAGAAAATTGTATTACTGACGTTTCGTAACTGAATCTAAGCCAGTTATTCATGAAAAAAAATAGTATGCTGTCTACTCTTAGTTATGTGACATATGGTTAGAATATTAAAGCATTTTTAATGCATGTAATCAAAAGAAGTCCTTTTCTTAAAATAATATTTTAAAATTATTCTTGGGGTTATCAGAAGGGGGTTCAACCAGGTCTGTTGTGAGATAGTAACTCGCTGGAGACAATTGGTGAACGGTTGCTCAATTTCGTTGACTGATTGGATTTAGACATAAACACCATCGGATGCCGGTTCACTGGTCTGTCGGTTAAGTGCTCTGGCGCGAGACCGATAAGTCCTGGGTTCGAATCTCGCGAGGTGAGGTCGTGGATACGCACTGCTGAGGAGTCCCACAATGGGACGAAATGGCTGTTCAATGCTTCCAGGTTTTTCACAGTGGTTTACCTTCAATTAACTCATCATCTCAAGTATATAATCCTATTCTTGAGGTGTTTTTTTCTATGAATAAGCTTTCAGTAGTTGATATATTAAATGAAATCTCGATAATTAACGAGACCAATTTGAGTTGAATTAATATTTTCATGTTATTGAATTATATCGTTTACAGTAATCTTTGGAGAATATTTGCCATTCATTCATTTTAGAAAGTTAACCAGTAAACTTCAGAAGATAGACTAAATGCTTAGGCCTATGTCTTTTTCTTTAATTGAATGTCTATGCCCTTAGATCATATGTAATGATCAGTAAGAAATGTTTGACTTTAATTGTACAATTACTAAGATACATTTTTAATTGTAAAAACGATGTTCTTATCAAAAATATTTGCTTCCTACTTCATTTATGTCAAAAAATTGTTATCACAAGGGGGTTTTTGTGGAGATTTAGTAATTTTATAGTTAAGATCATGAGTCAATTGAAGCTAGACCACCGTGCAAAACCTGGAAGCACTGGACGGCCGTTTCGTCCTATTATGGGACTCCTCAGCAGTGCGCGAGTGCGGGGTCGTGGATGCGCACTGCTGAGGAGTCCCATAATAGGACGAAACGGCCGTCCAGTGCTTCCAGGTTTTGCACGGTGGTTTAGCTTCAATTGACTCATGATCTTAGCTATAAAAAAAATTGTTGTCTAACTAATATTCTATGCAATAGAATTTATCATAATATTTAAAGCAATAGTAAGTAATTTGCTATATTCCAACTACCTACTTAAAACATTGGAGATAGCTTAGTGGATCATATTAATCATCAAATCATAAATGTAACTTGATATTGATCCAATCTCATAAAGTTTAAGTTGCTTCTTTAACTATTTTTGATGACCTTTGAAAATATTTGCCTTCAAAATTGTCGATAGATTAATAAAGCATACTCATTGCTTACTTGATGAACTTGGGGTGATTTAGATCCAATGAGATAAGATTTCCTTCCATCAACAACATAACCTTTAGACAGAACACCTAGCGGAAAAAGTAGGAAGTAAATACTGTGTCCATCATCAACAATTTTTAGTACCTTTGTCAAATAAGAAATATTACGGAAGGTATGTATTCAATTAAATAAAAGTTATGAAAAATAAAGATTGTAAAGTTTTGATTTTTTTTAAGTCATTGTGTGTTTATATTTGAAACATGTACAAACGACTAAATGATCGAATACATCGCTTAAAAGAACCATTTTGCAGAGAATAGTTGTAAGAAGCTTGATATTCATTTTAGATACATCTTTGTAACAAGATGTAAACTACAAATATTGTTGCCGAATTAAAATCAATTAATGCTTTTCATAAAAAAACTGAGTTGGAGAGGAGATAAAAACGATTTGGAGACAAAAATGTTTTTGTTTCGATAGTCTCATTTATTTAAACTGAATAGTCATATTTATAGTCAATTTGTTTCATAAATATTGTGTCTATGATAAAATAGAATTTTTAAATAGTTATAAGAAAAACTCAAGCGGTCTTGTGTCAAAGATCAAATACTCAAAGGATGTTATGCAATAGTTCAACGGCTAGTGAATAATGTTAATATAAAGATAACTATCCACTTTATACATATTAAGGACAGAATAACTAAATGAAATTATGGCTAGATAATAGTTATGTAAAATAATTAGAAAGAAGTGGAAAAGATCGATTATAGAAAATAGATAGGTTACAATGACAGTAGAATGAGGGATCGGGCATACTGTTTATGTACACAAAGGTTATGATTGAATGGGTAGTTAGCTGGAGCCTCTGTTGTACATAACTTTTTCGAATTTGTATTAATTTCGAATCGATGGATGGTTTTTACTGATATAATGGGTTTCTTCTATTTTTGAAAACACTGAATTGTTTAAATTACACATTAGTTTTTAAATAGTCATACATAGATTTTAGACAGTATTGAGTATTAATATGAATTTATCTGAATGGCATATTATCTAACCAAAATTGTCATGAACCCAAGCTTCCTGTTTTATTTTCCAGAAATAGTAATTATCATTGAATTTGGTGGAACTTTTAGAAAAACAGTAATTACCTATTAAATAATAAGTTTCATCAGTTAACGCATTAGGCTCAGTGATCTTAACTGAAACTTATTTTTTAGTTGCACTAAAACAGTTCTCTTTTGATGTGTGAAATGTTATGGTATTCATGAACTCTGAAAGTTACAAATAGGCACAATGAATTCAAACCTAAGTAAATTATTACATTATAACAGATAATTGGATATTATACTTCAAATTAAAGACTTTTTGGGGCGTTTTTTTAAATTGAAAAACGCAAATGTATTAAAAACAAAGGATTGGATAAACTTCTATTAGAAGGGAAACTGATTCGTATTTTCATTAATTCAATTTATTTGAATTTTTCACAAGAATAATTCAAATAATCTTGAGGATATTTATCTGTTGGAAAATCACTTGATTCATGTTTTCTTCGAAATTTATGGATGAGTGAAATGTACCTTAAATGGTTTAGTAGATCATACATAGATTGTAAAAACGTTGGGGACATTTAAGCAAAGCAGAAAAAATAATGCATTTTTCCAATCCATTTGGCAATCAAGGCAGCTTTGTTAGCAGACGCAACTACTTTGAATGTGAGAAAGGTTTTAATTATAATGTATTTAATTCATCGCAATTTAAGTTAATAGTCAAGAGAAGTAGTTTATATAGTAGGGATTCTGTGCTCCTAATAGTTAGTTTTATTCTATTTACTAGGTATTCAAATTCTATGTGAACTAATAATACAGGTCTATCTGAAATTTATTTGGAATATACTGATACGTTTGTGTTGTTATGACGATTATTGAGAAGATAAAGATTGATACAATCCTAAAGTACTTCGAATGAATCTAAACAAAAATTTACATGTATCAATAAATAATAAAAGCTTTTAATAATTAAAATATTAACTAAAGTCGATCGTATATAAATGTATGAGCCGATTTGATTAGAACAAAGGAAACACTTGTCCGCATTCCATGTTTGTAGAATTGCTTTACCTAATCTCATTATTTGATTTCGTAGTAACATTAACAACTGTCATCGCCTGGATAGAGAGCCTAATTAGTTGGTTAAAGTTGATAAGAAACTTCTGTTTGGACATTATGAAATAGAAATGATATGGAGTGAACACTAAAAGCGAACATGGAACAGCTAATCGATCTAGCTCAAATTGTGTTTGAGAAGCAAATCTTTGTAGACTGGTTTCTTCTTCATTAGCCCGCAGTTAACCAAAATATATTACTAGTAATCCACTGAACAGTGTGGGTTGTTGCAGTGTACTGATGAGAGCACAGATCAAGAATGAATGTATCTCGACTTCTGTCACTATAGATTATAGGTTTGTGTTTTCATCGAATAAGTAGATCAAACTTCCAAGGTCATTTTTAGTATCCTACAGGTAAAAAGTGTAGTACAGTTTTACCTAACTAGAACCTAAGTTTAAATTTTTTATTGGTTGATTTCACCAGGACTGTGATCACGATAGGAAATTTTTTATTTATAACAATATTTATTTTAATATGTATAAAAAATTTTCTGACGAAATAATGATAGAATTGTTGTACACATTAAACTTACCGTGACCATGAGTGTGAACACGGAAGGCAAATGGATGTAATGTAGCATTGCCTGTGTATGAACATGCCACATCCAGAGTAGCTGAAATAACAAAAACAAATCACTTTATTTGAGTGTGTAAATCATAAAATAACAGTTTTCAACGGAAAATGAAGTTTTATGGGAAATCATTTAAAAGTAATGATATTCACTTTTCTCTCCGACAAAGTTGCAAAATTAAACTCAGCAACTCAATATTTCAGTCTTTCCATATTTTTTTCAAATAAATAAGTGTCTTTTATTAAAGATGAAGATGAGTAGTGCTGAAGAATATAAAATTAAGATGAAGCAGCTATTCAATGAACTGAGGTTTCAAATGTTTTCAGAATATGGAGATCCTTACTGATGCGAACAGTCCGTTCATTTCATTTTTATTTATCTTTAATTCTTATATGATAGAAGTGAATTATTTGAAAACAAGGTAATTATCTGAACGTTCATTAAAATGTGAATGAACAGTTTGACAGAAAACATTATATACTAAAATTATATTTGATATTTAAGTAATTTTAATGTTTTTGTTAGACAATCTGATTGGGAATATAGAAGTTTGTTTTCTCTACAATATAAAATAAAATATTCATTATGGAATAATGGTCATATACTTTTTGGATATAGTTGAGGAGGAAATGAGTAGTTTATGGAATAATCTGAGAGTTCAAAGATTTCATTAAATCAAAACTGAAGAATCTTAAGTGATTAATGAAAAATCAGTTTATGTACTTACCGTTCATATATGACGTTCGCAATGAAGCATTATTTTTGAAATAACCTAGAGCGATTCGAAAATTGTTCAACACAAGAAAACTACTACTAGTGAATTCTACGCATCCAATGGTAATATCGAGATTGAATGATAAGTTCCTTATATAAGCCACATTTTTCTGTATCTACGAATGTATTTACTCCTACGGAGAAAGTTACATAAGGAGATATTTAAAGAATTTACTTTTCCGTAGTAGTAAAAACCTTCTTAGAGTGGCTAATCAAAGGCATAGTTAAGACTGTCAACAGATTTCTACGGCTCACTTATTTTAGATGAATCAAGTAGCTAATAATAATTGGTTGTTTTCAACAAACTACCACGTAAAGAGTAATTTACCAACAGTAGTCAGGATCTGAATCTTTTAATATGCAGAAACGACTGTAATACAAATAAAAAAAACCCAAGCTTTGAATCCAAAAGACTTATCTGTAGTCGCTGTTTCTACTTTATATGACCTAAAAACCCAAAAGTATTTTCTCTTATAGAATGGCCTACTATGGTTTATGTATATAATCCCGCTCCCCCCAAACAATCCAAATTCATTTGATTCGACTAATTATTTTATTTAAGTAAGTAGTTAATTAAAATTAACTATATTTATTGTCTCTCCAAATCATTGCGTAACCCTCTATCGAAAATTTGATTTGACTGTTATTCATTCTCTCATTCCATATTATATGTATTTATTTCCATTATTAATCTCGCGACTTCATTTGTCCTTCAAGTTGATTCACGTATAAATCACATACTAGTCATTTCAACATTTACCACTAATCCTAAATGCATAAAATCAAGTTTAAAACATTTATTCGGCAGTACTTATAATTATTAATTTGAATCTCTAATTCTCGAACGTCAAGGACAAGACGGTTTTTTGTTTCGGCGTGAGATATTGTGTATGTATCTTTAAACAACCTCAAATAAAGCCGAAATAATTATTCAGCTTATGTCAGTTTGGTGGTCAAAATTACTGTCAGCTTGTACAAAATAAGATAAAAGCATTTATCTTGGGATAGATTCTATGCCTTGAAATTCCCAATACCAAAATATAGTCAAGTGAATGACAATATAAATAACAACTAACACCTTTGATACTTACACATATTTTACTAAATGTGATACTTACCTATTTGACTGGGTCCGATGTTTTCACCGCTAACTAATGTATATACTCCAGCCAATTTACTGGTTCTAAAATTATTCATCAAGAAAAATAGCAGTAAAATAACATACCTACTATGAAATGGCACGTACAAAAATTCTATGACCAATCAACATTCTTGTAGAATATATATTGAAAGTGTTTGTCATTATTTTCAATGTCACCTATAATGCGTAAAATCTCCTCTAAAGTTGTTATAGTCATTTTGTCCGATGTATGACATGAGCCATAACTCATATCCTTAACGGGTCAGTGGGATAAGTGGTTGTAGTGTACTAAATTCTAAATTCATGGCAATACAGACTCTGTTGATCTAAGCAGTTTGTGAATGCTTTTCGCAAATAAATTTTACTACTCCATACTCTTTTTATGAATCGTTTAGCTATTTCTATAACTAATTCACTATATTATTATTAACAAGATTGGTATGAAATATTGTTGAGTCACGACAAAAAGTGTAACCGGTTCCCGTAGTTTATAAATTACCCAGAAAAATCTTATACATGCCATCACAAACTTATATTCATTAAGGTTTCAAATAATGATTAAAATTTCGATAAAAATCGTCATAATCTACAACTTGTCATATTTTATTTATAGATTTCAAAGCATCATTATTTTACTACATAACGAGGCAAGCCCTAACTTGGAATCCTGAAGGGAAGTGGGAAAGAGGAAAGCCAAAGAGCAGGCGTGAGTTAGTAAGTATCATATATTTTGATGGAGCGATCAGTTAATTTCAAATGTTCCGATCAACGTGGGAAACAGAAAACCATGTTCATTGATAGCAAAACACATAATTGAAACGGGGCACATGATTCACATTAATGCAGCATTTAAAAAATTGTATGGAAACTGTCATGCGCGAATTCTCAGGTTTATTGAAGCCTTGGCTATCCGTGAACTTGAAGCCCCCTTATGTGTACAAAAGCAATTTATCGTAACTTGAATTCACCCTGGTAATCCTTAAGTCATTTTATGGCCTAGGATAATGCGACAATTTCCTATTCTTTCTGAACTTTGTTAATTTTCTCTCCCTTTTATTACTTTGTTTACTTGAACTTTCACTTAATTGACCTTCATTAATCTTCATGTAAAATGCACTTATAAGTATATGTGTAACCCGATTGTTCAGATCAACTCCGTCTTCTCATTGCTTTATGGAAGTTTATAAAATGGACTAATTGCTTCAAACTACCATAAATGCTTCACAGACTTTTTCAAGTGTTCAATAATTCTGATGAAGCTGAGAAATTCATTTTGCTTAAACGAATTTAGACCATATTTATCAGTACTATTTTGACTACTGATAGTGAATAAGTGACCTAGCTAATAGGGACACAGTATAAGTTGATTCAAATTTCAATAACAGATAAAAGCGAAGATCAACTTGTTGTTTAGCGACCTATATTTCTTATCCTTTATTTATCATGTGTTATCGCATCGGTCATACTCTCTAAGCAATTAATTGTTCAGGGACAGCAAATTTACGAAGATTTATTAAGTAGATTCTCGCCCCATACTCTATTTAAACCTACTTGAAAGGCATTCAAATGCCATTAGCTACTTTTTGTGTGTATATTATACTCCTGAGTTATATCTACTTGTAATAAAACTTAATCATAAATAAGCATCCAAATTTATATCAATGATTCGTTAAAAATGTATGTATAATTATAAACATACGGCGTAGACTGAGTAATCAGTTCTAATCCACTTGTATCCTTCACATCCAAGTTCATGAAATCTTTGTAATGAACTTGTAGTACCAAATATTTATATGGCGTTCCTTGACCAACTTTAAACGACACATCTAGACAAGATGAAACAAACAAATATACGACAACGTATACTATGGGCAGAGATTCAAATAAATGACACTGAAATATTTATTTATTCCTAAAGACATAACCTGGAAACTAATTACTTGATTTCAGATTATTCAAGTGTATATGGTATTACATAATTCAAGTGAATTAAATGGATTATTATTGCATTACATACTTTTTATTAATTTAGAACTGTGATGTGAAATTCTGAATTATTTGTACTTATCTTGCCGACAATATTGCTTGCTTAACTGTAAATCTTGACATTGTTAGATTTTGATGTCCTTACGTGTCCTGAACGTTTCATTAAAGTATACCTTATAATTAAAGTAAATACCATCAAGAAGGTTAAAAACCAGTTTCCATAACTGAAGTCATAACATCATTTGAGAGTCATTAAACATTCTTTGTTTGACTTTACCTAAAGTAGATTACAACATATTGTTATAACACTCGGTTTTTCCGTCTTGACGTATGTGACGTTAATTTGCCTTAGACGAGTATCTTCATTAGATATCCTCCTAGTGTCTATTCTACAGGACTTCAACACAACTCAGATCAACAATACGTGACTAGCCTGACTAGAATGTAAGTATATTTCCATACCAAAAACCGGCAACAACCCAATAATAACAAGGGTAGGAGAATATATAGTACCTATCAGACTATCTACTGGTCTGACTAAGCAAACAACGAATAATTATCATTCTCGCCCACATATCATATATTTAATTTAGTCTTAATCAATGTAATCAACTAAATTAGAAGTGATAGATTATTTAACATTGATGATATGGACTTTATGATATCAAGTTGGAAATTTAAAGCATTGAGTTTATATTCAGAGGCTTAGCGGTATTCTTTTTATCATTATAAACTTGAAGGGCACTGTCGTAAATTTCTGGAGAGTTTCAAACTAGGATAAATTATTGATTGATGTTGCACAGCATTGCAGCTGATCTTATTTCTAAATAATGTCACTATGGCTTCATTTCTACTTTTCATATGTTTGTACAAACAGACCTTTTCAAAAACAAAAATTCTTACATCTTTTGTAAACATATATACAGTGAATATTTTAAACATTCATCGTCAAATATATGACCTGAGCAATGATGCTGAAATCATTGTCGGACTGCATAAAATAAAGTCTTTCATATAAAGTTTTACACTCCAATTGCTTATGCAAATGATGTGATTGGTATAGATTTGTGGATCAGGTGGATGATTTTGGTGGAGTTTTTTATTCTCTAAGCTATGCGGTTTAGTCGTGGAACTTTCACCGCTATTCTGAACGACATCATCTGCACAAACTTCATTTATACCTGACTACCACCATCACCCAGCTCAGTGAACAAAACTCCACCGCATATTGTGATTATATACATCTAATAATTCAGATACAACTTTTTGGATTATAATAATTTGTTCATATTTTTGAAAACAGTAAATTTTCTCCAGTGAAATTTTGAGTAAAATCTTCGTTAAAGGTACACCAGGAAAATAATTAAATATAACTTCGAAAACTATAATTTCCAGTAGTGAATCTTTATTTGTCATTTGACCATTCGAGAAATCTACATTTCCTTCTTACCACATAGAAATTATGACTAGTACTTTCCAGTATTGACTGCCAATAATAGAAATGAGATATTTGAATGTTTATTGGTGTGAAAATTCTTTTCAGCACTTCAATTTCCATATCTTATGAACTTAAGATATAATCATTGGTAAAGTATCCCAATGTATTTGATTATATCTTTTGAGCTTTGATTTAGTCATTATTAAAATATAAAGTTGGATCTATTGAAGTTCAATTTTAACCACAATGTAATGAAGATAAATCGGTAAATGGCACTACAAAACTGCCTGCTGATGAGATGGTCAATTAATTTGATATGCACAATTATCCTCTGTTCATCAAAAATTCAAAATTGCATGAAATAGCATTAGGTCGTAAACTGGATAAAGTTTGCTAGATAATATACGCTTACATACTCATAATTATATTTGTATTGATCTGAGCTGTGAACACAGGTATAACCTTTCAGGTTAGTTATTAACATATTATGATTGTATGATTGAAAGTAAACTATAATAATAATGTAATTGGATGTACTATTTATATTTCCCCTGAATTTAAACATTATTTATTGTTAGAATTCACTTGGTATTGTTTGTTTGAATCTTCCCACTGATTTTTAGCACTGCAATTGATCAGTCTCTTATTGGCATAATGCTTATGAATTAAGGCTATATCGAGGCAATACGCACAGTATGCACATATGCCAATAAGAGACTGATCAATTGCAGTCCTAAATATCAATGGGAAGATTCAAACAAACAATACCAAGTGAATTCAAACTTTACCCCATTGCACAAGCAAATGGCCATCAAGACTCAGTAGCTAAGTGGATAACGCGATGGCGTTAGGAGCGAAAGGTACTGGGTTCGAGTCTCAGGGTGAATATCAACTCTGAGATGCAGGTACATACAGCTGGCGAGTCCCAAATAGGACAAAACGCGCGTCGTGAATTCCACTGCTAGCTATTGTCCATCTTTGTGTATAATTATTTATTGTTTATTGTCATCTATTTACTTCATTGCAACTTATATTTTTTCTTTGATTATTCTAGTTTCTTAGGTTTCATTAGATTTTAGATTTTTTCGATACATTAATGTTAAGCAACTAGAACTTTTAAATTGTATAGTCAACTTTTAGGCTGAATTGATTGTACTCTTATCTTGTTATACAACTTTACTCATATTTCTTATAATCCAACTAATTTATCAATTTGACTGTGTAATTATTTTTAGTTTACCAGTACAAAATTCTAAAAAAATTATTTTCTTCAGATTTGCATTTTGACTTTACAATTTGGCCAAGTTTGTTTCTTCTAATAAACAATTTTTAAGTCATTTGAGCAACTGGATGGTTCAAATATTGTTATCACGGATACAAACAATGGGATGCTTTTAAGAATTACTAACCCTAACCTTGCAAATAATTCTGAATATAGGTGTTGTATAATTTCTAAATCCATAAATCATGGGAAGTACATGACGCTACTAATGCCGTAAACTATGGACTAAACTGTAGTTAAAAATTTTCTTTAATGAAAGGGAATACTATGTCCATCGTTGATTGGTTATTGACTATGTATTCTAAAAATAATTTAGAAATCTCTAAAAGATGTTTCACATTTTAAAAACAAGGAAAATATATCGAATTGATGTAAATATCTAAAATATATGTATTACAATGTGAATAGTTTTTATTTAAATTTGAAAAACATACCGTAAGGCATTTCAAAGGCCGGAGCTCCCATCGCCCAAGAATACACAATAGATTCAGACTCACGACATATAGATGTTTCGTCATTGGACATCTCACCACATTTCCTACAATAAGTTAAAAAATTTCTATGTAAAAACAGATTATAGCTCTTAAGTAGGTGGTTAGCTTAAGTATACTCATTTTTAAATTCATATTCTAGTGAAGAGATGTTATAGATAAAACTTCCGCTTTTTTATATTTTGAGAGTCCTTAGTTAATGCATAAATTTAACGATATTAAATAACAATGGATATATTTCAATTGTTAACTGACTTAAAAACTCTGTGACTGATAATATTCAATTAGAAGCAAGAACATGTCAAAAATGTCACAATAAGCAAGTTATACATTGTATTACTAATCAACAGATAGCCATTGTAAACTTTGAAATTGAGCATCACATAAACAAAAGTTGGGTCAAAATATGTGGCAAACTGTTGCAGTATGTAATTCACTGTCCATCATTCTTTATTTTTTGATCATTTCACGATTTTCCAATAAGTTTTGGGATATTTCGTTGTTCTGTTGCCGCAGAAACGAAGGATGAAGACAAAATTAGCGCTAATTAATGGTCATAATTTTTGAACTTTGAAATAAACTTGGCATAAAATAGATAAGACGTTTCATTTTATGTTATTGACATCTGCTTTTAAAACAGTAATGTTCAATCGTTTATTCTTCCATGATCCCAGCATCCCGCCTAATCTTAAAAATTTTAAGTCCTGATTACTATCTGACACTTCATCATTTCCTTTGCAAAGTAGATAGTTGTCTTTTGAAATTTTTATATAGATTATTTAATCTCATTACCCTCGAACGTATTACATAACTTAATTCCTTGATAATTTTTGATCACTTTGCTAAATGATACAACATCCATTTTATACAATACTTGAAGACTATGTACAAGTATAATTGTTTCGAAATAATACCCTTCTATTTGTGAACTATTATAGTTAATACATGAAATCTGATAATCGTTGATTACTTCATTAAATGGTGTAATACCACTTCATTTTTTCAAAGACTTTCATATTTGATATCACAATGAGCTTAGTTATTTTTGATAATTTTATTTAATGGTGTAACATTTGTCTATTTCATTATAAACAACTACCTGAAAAAATATACGGCTGTACAGCTCGAGAAAATGATTTCATTGGAAAAAATTTCTTTTCTTCATTGAAAAGTTAAATTCATGAGTCAATTAAACCTAGACCATCACGGAAAGCTTGAAGGCATTATACGAACGTTTCGTCCTAGTATGGGACTCCTCAGCAGTGTCTACGATCCCTCTCACAAGACTTGAACCCAGGATATTCGGTCTCGCGCGTGAACACTAACCTCTAGACCACTGAGTTGGCATCCAACGACGCTAATGTTTAACTTCAAACATTCCACGTAATTGGGCCACCGTCTACCATTGTCTTCAGTTAGCTACTATCTCATTGGAAAGTCTTCATTATTTAAATGATAATCAAATGAATAATTTAATGTACAGTTTTTCTACATTATACTTGAATAATTTCAAAAGTGTATATCAAAATTATGGTAGAGATAAATCCACCTTTAATATTAACTTATTATACATTATCAAATATTCATTACTTTGAGACGTATTTACATATAATTCAATCATTCAATAAATGTCAAATCTATTCTTTGCACGATTTAAAACAAAACAGAACACCTAAAGTAAGAAATTTATCTACTGTAGAATAAGAAAACATTATACAATTATCTAAATTCATACGGACGCCATTTATTTTTAAGAGAAAATAGGTAACTATTGTAAATTTAGTGAATCACTATTGTTCAACAATAACAGACACTTTATAAAAAACTAAAGTTCAATTAACTGTAAATACGTCTAGGGTTATCTCTATCCAGATTGAAAATAAGTCATTAGCTGTCGTTGAAAAGCAACTGATTCAAATCAATTCCTTTCTTCTCTTTTTTTAACTCAATTAAAAAAAACAATCATATAAGTTGTATACCTAATTGATGATATATTTCTCAAGTGGCCTTGCTTTTATTAACAGAATAATGTAGAAGAATGATTTAAGTAATATGAGAAAAGAACTAAAGTAACAGTAATAAATCATCGTTTTTGACCTTAGATGCTTTATTAGGTAAAATGGTAGATGATTAAAAATGACCAGTTCTGATATCCTCGACTCATTTGTTTTGAGACAGAGAACATTTAATAGTTGAATTTATGAGTCGATTAAAACTAGACCACCATGGAAAACCTGGAAGCACTGGACGATCGTTTCGTCCTAGAATGGGACTCCAATGCAGTGCGCATCCACGACCCCACTCGCAGATTTATACCTTGAAAGAAACCCATGCCCTTTAGATATCTAAACATATCTTGAACAATATGAAGAAGTATCAATGATTAAGAAACGAAATATAGTGAATTATTATTTCAATCATACGACTTTTCACTATCGAATATTTAGATATGTAATGGAGGTCATGTGTCTGTATGCATTTAATCGACTTTTTCTTCACTGAAGTATGACTTATATGTGATGAACGAAAGAATCGATTTATTATGTCCGGTAAATAAAATTACTCCGACTTCCGGAAACTAATTTTCGCCTACTATTGTGAAAATGGACCAAAGTATAGCATAGGGACGAATTTGAGTGATTTTAAAATGACCATATGATTTTGAAGCCAGTAACTAGAAAAGAGTATAGGTACGTCATAGGTAATCGGAAACCGAAATAATGAAACCTGTTAACACTCACAGATTTCAGGAAGTTTACTAGTTTTTCAAAACTTTCTATAAGTACACTGATCTTAATATTACAGAAATAATCTCACTAAGTTTGAATATACCTACTTCAAAGAGAACCTTGTGGATTTTTGAGAGTTTATTATACAGTAAATTGAAACAAGAACCATACTAAGACAAAACGGCCGTCAGATGTTTCCAGGTTTTCAATGATGGTCTAACATCGATCCATTAATGATATCAATATAAAAACCAATTGATTTGTATGCTATACAAAATCTATAAATGTAAAACTGAGCACTTTACATATTTAATATCGCCATTTTCATTTAATGTTGATAAAAAGCGATTTTCCCCAAAAATTCAACACCAAATAGTATTTTTCCACGGACCTTATGTGATGAAAGATGAAAGTCATCCAATTTTGAATTTTGAATGGTAATCCGAAAGTTGTCTACGCCATTGTGATTTACTCATCCTTTACATTATTCGTTTAGATGAAAATGCATCCATTCTTATTTAAACTATCTGTAATTAAGTAAAAACTTTCATTTTTACCGCTAAACAGTTACTATAATTTGTTTGTGAAAAAATGGAATCGCAATTTTTAAAGAGATTTGAAATAATTCTATATTTTGTACTCCGAAAAACATTGTCATAATCAATAGTAAAAGAAAATAATAAATTTACCATAAACGTTCTGGACTCCCTGGCTCCTCACATCCGAACAGAATAATATGATGAACAAAGATAGGATTGTAAACAGGCTGGAATCCAGCTAGATAATATTTTTAAAAATAATTACAGATAGATTAAACTTTATAAAAAACGTCGGAATCATTATTCTGTAGGGTGAAGAAAGTGTCAGAAATATCTGTCATGAGGGAATGATAGAAGTTATAGAAGTACTGACAACCAGTTTGTATCACAGAGTTATTTCATCTTATTTTGTAGATCTTAATGAGGTTCACCATTAGATCCAGACCTTCATTCAGTGGTATATCGGATGTCACAAGGCATATGACAACTGAATGTTTTCTCACGGGAGAGCTTCCTCAAGTGATGATATCACATCCATCCTGATTTCGCTACCTTACAGCAGTTTTCTAACTAGTGTTCGGTAATTACAACAGTCACTACCGAATCACAAAAGTATGGTTATAAGCAAATGCTCAAGTAAAATGTTCGCATAAGTAAAAAGCCTTGTTTATTACTACATGTCAAATAAAATCCCAGTTTAGCTAAAACGTATCAGAGAAAAGTTAATTACGTGTGAGATAGTACATTTATCTAATAGAATGTCACTATGTTCAGACGAGTAATAAACTTATACCAAAGGTACTTTACGAGATGAATTTATATTAATAACAGGTGAATGAATGATGACTGCTCGTAAATACACACATATGAATTTCAATACAATGCTTTTATTGCAAAGTAACATTTTAGGAAGATTTACAAAAGTATGAAATGACAGTGATAAAATCGCATTGCAGTTAAGGCTTTCAGTGTTAGGTAACTATGGGTCAGCAACCTTGAACTTATGTTCATCGCCATTTGTCACACTTCAAAAATACATTTATTTATTAGTAAAGCAGTTTTACAAGTAAAACATTTACTGACATATCCTTACAGTTATAAAACATATTGTGTAACATTTTCCCATTTTATTCCATTAAAATCTACGCAAACTGCTGAACAGCTGAAGAGTAATATTAACGAATCAGAATCGAATTACTTATAAAATAACTTATTTGGAAAATATAACTAGTTTATTGCGACATAAAGGGATTCTATTTCTTATAAACATTTATATTTAAAGAAATAAATATGTAGCTTTTTTTATACAGTTGTTCTTTGTTTTATCCACTTAAGTATCTGATCAATATGAAGTAAATTCTATTAAACATTATAAATGGTAAACTGCATTTTGATATAAAGTGTAAATTGTAGGTTGGTGTAGATTTCTAAATAAAACATTAACAGTATTATCATTTATAAGTTGAACACAAAATATAAAAATGTGTAAATTTTAGATCAACAGGGAATAGATAAGTACAATTAAATATATGGAATGGAAAACCTCAATGAAACTGAATTCAGAAGGGATTTTTGTGGAAATTTTAGTGAGTTTTTTTATATATAGCTGAGATAATGAGTCACTTGAAACTAGACCACCATGGAAAGCCTGAAAGCACTGGACGACCGTTTCGTCCTGTTGTAGGACTCCTCAGCAGTGCGCGTCCACGATCCCGCCCCACGAGATTCGAACCCTGGACCTACCAGCCTCACGCCAAAGCACTTAGCCGATAGACCACTGAGATGGCCGGAATTCAACGGTGTTAATGTCTAACTTCAATCAATTCACGAAATTGAGCAACCATTCACCAATGTCATCAGTGAGTTGATATCTTCCTGCAGACATGGATGAACTCCACTGGTTACTGCTTCCCACTAGAACTCCAGAAAATACCTCATGGAGCTAATATTTTATTTCAGATTAATTTATAGAAAGGGGAAAATGGATAATACTGTAATTTAGTTATCTTTATACGTGAAACAATCTAATCTATTGATGTTACATATGTACAAGTTCGTTATTACTACCGAGTTTATAAAGTTCAAATATGACAACTAATCAGGTAAGTGAGTGATAAATAACAAAATACAATTCAGAAATACTGATTGATGTATCTTATTAACTTCAGCTGTCCTGTCTACTTGTTTTTATCTAACCATAAAAAATTTATCAACTTGAAATAGACAGCAAATAACCCGGATTAACTGAATCATAAAAAGTAGCAATGTCAATATTTTTTCATTTCAAACAATGATCTTAAATTCACTAAATTGGAGAAACGCATGAAATGATCAAGCAACTATTATCCGAGAACTAGGTTTCGTTAATATATGATTTTTAACTTAAACGAAAATCAGTAGAATACCCAGATTGATCTTATCAAATCTGATAAAGTTATACTTCATTAATATACTATTGAAGTTTTAAAGTTATCGTATATGTAATTTGAAAAAATATTTATTTCAACAGATAAATCACTTGACATTAATACATTGAATTCCATACCTTAATTAAATTAATTAACTAGTAGAGTGACGGTTATAACAAGGTAGAAAAATACACTGAGCACTAATTAAATAAATTGTTTTTTTCATTACCATAAAACGAAAACAAAACATCACCTGAAGATGTCCTAGTATTTTAAAGTACTCATCTATTTTGCTTTTTTTTAAACATTTTTACATTATTATAATCAAGTTATTGTTTATTTTGCACATCTAACAGTAATTAGGTTAAGGTCTAAAAATGTCATATTCCGTGAAACGTTGAAAACAATTTCTGAAAGACTGAATTTAAGATGGTGATTGGAGGTAGTTAAAAGAAAACCCTGGATCTAGGTTTCGTGCTACGTGATGCTCGTTAGCACGGTGTACTTGTAATCTTGAAGGAACTGATGCTCCTTAACGGATTGGATCACGTGTCACATTGAATCACAGTCAGAGACGTTACCACGGAGGTATCCGGGTCGCGACTGACCTCCTGTAGGACTGAGGTGTATTCACAATTGATTGATCGCCACCCAGTGACCAATTAATTGTATAGACTGATTTTCTTTAATGAATAATATCATTTATAATGAGACGAAACTGATACTTAGATTCAGTAGTAACTAATATTCTAAATTTAATGTTTAGAAATGTCCCATACACTTAGGATTAATTCTAAAAGTCTAGAAAACCTGTAAGACAGTAGAAGTGTATCACAAAATCTGAGGAAAATTCAAATTAATTTTTATCTTCTCAAATCAGCAGTCAAATTACGCAAGATCGATTTAGAATTTGTTATATGTTTATGCTTTCAGCTAAACTGTCTTAAATGTACACTTTCAAACAAAATTAATTGTTTTGAAATAGTAGTCAGTCTCTTCTTAAGAATTTGTCTAAGCATCCTCGTGATTTGTCTTTCTGTTGAATCAGTTAAATTCTTGTTACATTTGTCTAGGATGAAATAAATCCTAATGATACAAACAGCTTTGTTCATTAGGACGATACCTGAACGTATAACTAGTCGTAAGATCATCACCTCGTCATTTTGTTTGGTGTTTCTTAAAGCTATTAGATATTCTCTAGATAGAATATCCAACTTTCATGTACATGGAGTGTAATATTGGTTGGCAATATCAACTAACTTTGATTTGAATTAGACCTTTTTTATTTCCACTGCCTTCAAGATTAGTAATCTTATTCAAACAGACTGAGCTTACTGATTTTATTCTTACTTATTATTAACGTTTATTTATTACACAACCACTTGTTACTAACCCTTTGGACTTGTTACTACCAATGTTATTTAACGTTCTGTCATGTAAGTTATATATTTATAAAATTTTATTTATTCTGGTAAATTTGTTTACACCCTTGCTATACTACACTGGTGTATGATCATAGCAACTTCCAATGAAACTGTTCCATGTAAGCAATTTGAATCCACTTTGTAATTATTCTCAAATATGACAGATTGTAAGTAGCTGACGAAAACAGACGAAATAAAACAAAGTCATGTTATTCAGTTTCAATTTTTGTCTTCGCTCTCTTCATGTAGCCAGTTACTGATTTTACGTGGTCATCACAAGTAGCTATAGCAGTATTTTGTTTCCAATTCAAACAATGATCAACACCTCATTAATATGAACAAACACACAAAATGACCATACAACTAGTACCAGTGGCATAAGTTTGGCTAAAAAATGATTTATAATTTGAATCACATTCAGTAAATTACCAAGATTGACACTATCAAATTCTATAAAGTTAAAATTCATATAATTTTGTTTTTTAAAAAAGATAGGAAAACTGATGAAAAATGTGTGAAACATTTGAAACAAATAATTTGTAGGGAAGAGTTTAATGTTTGATTGCTTTTTTTCTGTATTGAGATAATAAAAAGCAACTTACAACTTGTTTAGTGTTAAGTCTTACCATAACTTTGTTTTTTATCCGGGATTTTAGAATGAGTTATCTTGAACATGCTCATAATAAACGATTGTGGATAATTCCAGCCTATAAGTGAGGATTCTGCAAAAATCCGCTATTCTGAGGTAGGTTAATTACATTTCTTCTTTTATAAACTTAATTACTTTGTACCTATTAATGTCCAATTACAAGTTTAATGACCAGTACAACTTTCATATATACCGGATAGATTTTAAAACCCAGTGAGAAGGTACTACAGTGGAATTTCATATTTGATATGAAACAACAGCAAAATTTTAAGATAACAAAACTATTCGCTCCTATCAATGTATGACTAATTTCACTAGAAGTTGAAATTAGAAACACCGTTACTCAATTATTTATACTACCATCTTTCATTTTAAACATAAGGAATATAGGATAAATGGATTAAGCCTTGAAACAAAGTGAACAATAATTAAACTACACTGTGCATTTACCCGTAAAGTTCTTTAAAAACAATTTAAGAAAAGATACTGAAATATAACAGCTGCCCTGAATTTGAGAATTTTCGTCAACGCTAATTCACTGATCATATTTTAGATAATTACAAAACGGAATTACTCTAATCAAATCATACTCACTTATATAAAATGTTTCGTTCTCAATTTTCTGTGAGTAACACCAATATTCATCATCCTAAAAACAAAACAAAAAAAATATTTATATGATCAAAATGTCAATATTTAAAAAATCACCATTGTTGTTGTCACTCCTGGAATACGAATCTCATATTTGTTTTTTTCTTTAGGATATGCAAAAATTCCACGAAATATAATGAAGAATAAAATATACACTTTTAGCATTTTGTTGAGAAAGCTAATAACTCAAGAAATTGATTAAATGTAAAAACTCGTTTAAAATTGGATTTTATATGGAATAAGTATAAGACTAACTGTGCTGAGATTGGATAATAATAGTTGATAGTATTTTATTTGCGTAGGCAATATTACATCATTAAGATTCCTTTCTCGAAAGTTCTTCGTATTGGTGAGTAGTAGATATATATATATATCATCTCATTTGTTATCAATAATATATGCATGAGTATTGTAGAAGCAATTCAGTTAGCCACCATCTATGTCCTAGCCTTTAAATTACACTAATCAATTTTTAATATCCAATCATATATGAGCATCTATATTCATCCTTACTATCTGTTTTTTTTTAGTTTTACATCAATCAATAATTTCTCTAACCTTGATCTACTCTATCTGTCTGTCTATCTAACATCTACCTATCTTTTCTCTCTTTTTTTAATCACACCCACTCACCTATTCCTCTTTTACTAAGGGGAAAAATTATTTATTAAATAAATAAAGAAAAAAAAGTCGATTTTATTTTTGTAACTAAATTCCTCAAATATAGTAAAATAATAATATAACACAGACATACTATTTTATGAGAAAGTTGATCGACTTACAGACATTTCAGGCTAAGTTGAAATCATTTTGAAATTATTTCATTTTTAGGAAAAATTGCTTCTTTTCCAATTCACTTAAATGATGTGTAGATGACCTCTTGAAGTTTAAGAGGAGAAAATTGTATAGTATCATCGAATACAACTTTTTGTTGGTTCCCGATATGTGGATGTATATTCAAATACTTCAAAACATGAATATTTTAGCTTTATGATTGAATTAAGCACATTCTGGTAAGTCAGTATAATAATAATAATAATAATAATAATAATAATAATAATAACCGAAACTGTAAACGAATAGATATAGTTCTATATTCCAGAGAAACTTGGAAGACTTGTGATTTAGTTGTTTAATATTAAGTGATATGAACTTGTTAAATATAATGAACAACAATCACAAATCTCCATGTGAAATCTGGTTAAGCAACTAACTGAGTTTCATGTAATAATTTGATTACATTTTGTAAACAATATTTTTTGATATATGCAGTTTTATCATAGTTGAAAGCATCAGTCAATTGAAGCTAGACCACCACGGAAAACCTGGAAGCACTGGACGGCCGTTTTGTCCTTGATAAAAACTGAAATCTCTACAAAACCCCTTTTGATATGCAGTTTTATTTTAAAAGTTAATATTAGTCTATACGACATGTAAATGCATATTTATAACTTATTCGAATCTGGACAAAGTTTATAGACCTAAAATTTGTATAGTTTTGTTCATAAAAACATAATGATGTATTTGAAGTATCCATGTAAGTGGAAATTGTGATTGCTGACATTTCATGACTCAATATAATGCCCTTCTACGCTGAAAAAATCCACTAAGTAAAAAGACGTTAGAAATTTTATTTTCAACTTATTAGGATATTGCAAATATATCATTAATTTGATTATTTAGAATATGTTCAATTTATTTAAAATTATCTGATCAAACATTGGTGGTAAGACAATAATTTATGGACGACTGCTGAGCGATATCAAAGTGACCTTGAGAGTGTCCACCTACTAACTAGGGCTAAATGAAGGTCATGAATCAGTGTGAGAAATTAGAATGAGGATTTACAGCTGATGGTTCGGGTTAGGAACAGATTAAGGGGTTTTTTGCTGTTACTTTGAATATATATTTGATTTAGTCCATGAAACCAGATTTTTAAAACTACTAAATGAAAAGCTTTTCGAACGATGGTACAGGATACTACTCAATAGTTGCAAATAATTGTGATTCCTTTTAAAGTCGTAGCCCGAATATTCAAAATTTTTCAAACAATTCGTTAAACTGTACAAAAGAAATTCACAAACGGTTTGAATGTACAAATAAGAATATTACAGTCGGTATTTTTCATAATTTCTCTTATTATGATCCATCTACTCCTCTTGCTTGACAGTCTTCGAAACTACTTCACTCGACAGATCCCCAAATCAGAATACGGTTGAGCAGGGACGAAATTACAGTTCAAATAACAAGAACAGATAGAATTAGGAAGTACAATAAGAAAAAAACGTTAGTAAATTTATGGTTTTTACATGGGAGTCTTCTCCAAGTATCCACTAACGCTGATCGGATAAGAAATAGACAATCAGCGTGCCCTAACATAATCCTTCACAGAACGTGATTCAATCCAACCTATGTCCCTCTAACAGTATTATAAAATGAACCTGTTAGCTCATGGAATTCTATGAAATACGATATGCATATATAAATGTTTCTGTCAGGTAATTCACTAGATAATGGAGACTAGTTACTTGTAAGTATAGTGTCTTTGAAAAACATGTATTGACTAGAGAACCATTAGAAATCAGAGAGCACTACATATATGCTTCTTTCTAGTTTAAGACTCCTGATTCGTGTGGATCCAATAACAGGTTTGGTGGTGGTCATTGAAGTATCAAATTTTATCGTCAAGGAAACTTTGGTAACACTGGATTCTTTATAACTATCCCTGTTTCTAGACATAGTTCTACTACAAAAAACATGAACTTTTAATTATCCTCACATGAAACTCAGAACAATACCATCCGAAGCACTCAGAAAACTGATGGTAACACTTAGTTCAATGAAGAAGATAGAAAAGTATGGTGTTTCTATTTGCAATGTTGTTAATTATATGAAATTTTCTTTTGTTCCTCTATTTAGTGACAAATATTAAGCATCATAAGATGTTTTCGGATTTATGTACTGAATACAGTTTATAAAACACTGTAAGAAATCTTGGATATAAACAACGTATATCATATGTGTAAGTATCTATCATGAATAGTTCCACCTATACTCAGCATTTATTTTTTAATCTGTTTGCATATTTTCTTGGTTTTTCTGTAGACTATGGTCAAATTCCTACTTTTATTTTTGTTTCACAAATAATGCTATTTTCAAGTACTTTACCAACCATTACAAGTAGTAATTCTTTCTTTAAAAAAACTTCATAGACGTCGCTTATTTATCATTTTTTAAACATTTAAAACAAATATATTATTATTTTCTGTTACTAAGGCAGTCAAACATTTGCTTCCTTTCGGCTGTCAGTTAGTATGAAAAGTAAACATTCTCACAATTCCCTTAAAAAGACATCAAGTCTAAATGTCTATAAATAGTATTTTTTAACAGATGAATTTCAATATTTTATTCTTTCAACTTGAAAAGCAAGAGTAAACAAAAAATGTCTTGATATTACCTAGATAAACTATGATTATGTTTTATGAATTATTCAGTGTTCAGTTCCTTTTGTACATTAAAATAAAAATACATTATCTATCTATTATTATCTAAATTGAAAATGAAAGAATCAGCAAATGAATGGAAATTTTCCAAATTCTGGTTTTTAAAATAACTTTCAGACGATTTTAGAGTAAGAGTATAGTGTAGGAATGAGCTGATAACAAACTTAGCAAATTTCTAACTACCTCTTAGTCAGTTAGAAAATAGCTTCTGTAAATCGATTGATTAAATTAAGACATTAACACCTTTGGATATCGGTTTAGTGGTCTAGAGGTTAGGCATTCGCATGTATGACCAAAGGCTCTAGGTTTGACTCCCGAGTGAGGGGTCGTAGATACGCACTTCTGAGAAGTTCCATACTAAGACGAAATGACCGTTCAATCCTTCTAGGTTTTCAATAGCGGTCTAGCTAAGGATCAGTCTATGATTTCAACTGTGAAAATTCGGTGAATACAGTTTATGAAAAAGAAAGGGTGTGAAGAGTCTTAACATAACTAATGAATCTATCAAAATTCTTTACAGATTATAGCACCTATACATATGGATATAAACGTTATCTTAAATCACCAACTTTTATAATGACTAGTATATTCTTAAAATTTACCACATTGTTCCTTGTTAAGATTACCATTAGAATTTAGGAGTCAGAGTTTTTATTACGAACTGACGTCATCCATATTTCAAAATCCTCTCCACTAACATGAATGTATTCATTTCCTGAAAAATTGTAAAAGGTTCCATAACATTTGATGCCAATAAATTACGACTTGTTTCAAGATTGTGGTGTAGGGATATTATCAATTTGTTTGTTATGAACAATCTCAGAAAGAAGAGTTAAGCATTTCAATATGTTATACACTATCATCTTTACCTATGATGACAAGAATTGCTTTTAAATCGCATTTTAAACATTATGAACACTACAAAAACATATCGCTATCAATTACTATACGTGATAAATGATGTTTGTGTAAAAGCACATTACTCGCGTTCTCAATTCTGATTGGGTTATCCGATTTTCCTGTATTTTTTATCTCTTTGTACTGTGTTAATTTAACAAATTTATTTGTACACTATACAGACAGAACCAGGCTGAGAAGCACTTGAAACATTGCCTGTTGTCACGTGATATGTACTTCTATACACGTGTTATTTAGATATACATAGCTCATTTGTACTAGTTTTATCAATTCCTCATACTGATCACTTGTCTATTTGTACATATTTTGGTTGGAAAGAAATAATTATTTCTTAACAAGCAGTTTGATGAAATATGCTCAACTTAAGGTAATTAGTTAAGTGATTGCTTAATGTAATTAAGGTTGATAGACTATTAAACTGATTACTATCAATTATCACTCTATATAATAAAAACTTATCTATTATTTCGTACACCATGTTTTCTTGTTAGTTGATTAAAGACAACTACCAACCCGGACAATACATTGATAATGTTATTAACTGTAAAACTAGTTGGAATGAGTTAGAACGTTGTGACGGCGAGAAAATGAAATACGTGAAACTAGGAGTTATTTTTAAAACGCGAATAAAAACACAAAAATGATTACAGGTAACGATTTATTTCACTATCTGAAACACGTCATTGTCAGATAACCGATGATGATTAATTGAACCCATGAATGGCACTGTGCCAGTAAGAACACGAAGACTATAGATGAGAATTTATTTGATATCCAATAATAAGTAAAAATGAATATTCAAACACACTGATTGTTGTATGATTTAGACCGATTAATAGTCAGATTTATTTACATTAAACTGAATAGTACTTTACATAATTTATTCAGTAACTTACTGTATATACAGATACGGTATCATAAATTGGAGTCTGTCATCATTAAATATATCTAATAAGATTATTTTTTCTCAAAATGTGATTAGATATTACATAAGATTAGTAGAAAATGATCCTGCATGTCATTCACGCTGCATATATATATATATATATATATATATATATATATATATATATATATGGATCCTTTC